GACATCGCTCCGTCCCGTCCGGCGGTGTCGCGATCCGGGCTCCGGGCTCCGTGTCGAGTCCGCTCCGCGATCCGTGATCCGGGACTTTCCGATCTAAATTCCGGGTTCTGGGGTTTGTTGATCCGGGTTCCGGGATTTCCTAGTCCAAGACCTCGAGTTCCCCACAGACCCGGTTTGGGGGCAGGGCCGATCCTGATTCCGGTCCTGCCCGGGAAATTCCGGATCCGGGATCTGCTGCAGGCCCGCCTGCCGCCCGCGGCCTCCGGAGGTTTGGCCGACAGAGTCCAGTTACCCAGAGGCGGCAACTAACTCCCTGCCCCGCCCAAACAAGCCCAGCGCTAGGCCCCACCTATACCCAGCGGCCCAATGCCAGGATGCCTCCTCAAATCCCGCCCATCGCGAGACCCGCCCCTGACGGGCACCGCCCCTAACCGTCAGCCCCAGAGCCACGCCCACACCCCTTGGACCAGCCCTTGGCCGGAGAGGCGGGGGTGAAAAGCTGCGCAGGAAGCGCTGTGCAAGGCGCGGGGTCAGAGGTCGAAGGTCACTTAGGGCTTCAACAGAGAATGGGTAGTTGCTGAGAGCCCCCAGGTGTAGCCGACTCCCCGAGATACCTAGTTACACTCTCTGAAAATAGTTTTCTCGAGTCGCCTTCCTACATTTTCAGCATTAAAGACAACACAGAGCAGTTCTCTGGGGCAGAAGAGCCTCCAACTTTTGACTTTGTTTAAAAGCCCATCCTGGTGGCTCAGAGCTGCCAAGGGATATCAGCTGCCCCAGACCCGATCCAGCTGTGTGAAGGGTTGACTTGGCCAAGATCCGAGTTCTTTTTGCATATTTTTAACGTGCTCTGCCTCACTTTAAGGAAGCCTAGTACTTTACTCCACAGGAAATGTTTCTAGTGGGTGGAAATTTGCATTATGAGAAACCTCCCTGTAGTTAAATAAGGTTTTTTTCTCCAGGATTTATAGTACTTAATTGAAAAAAATGCAATACCTTTTCAGAAGCCACTGTCCTGTATCATAAAGTATTCAAAATAAAGTGCTTCAGCTGTGTCAGAGAGCCTACCTTCTGGTCGTCTGGGATTTTCTCCCCATGATCTAGACCAGTGCTTCTTAAACTTCAATGAGCAAAAGAAACATCTGGGGCTCTTGTTCAAAATGCAGATTATGATTCAGTAGGTTTGGGGTCTGAGACAGGGCTTAAGCTTCAGCATTTCTAACAAGCTCCAAAAGCAATGCTGTTGCTACTCAGACAACAGTTTTGAGCAGCCAAGATAGATTTTCACTATATAAATTCTCTGCTTTGTTTTCACCCCTAACAAAGTCTTGCACCATAGTACCCAGATCCTCTTCATAGTACAGTTCTCCACCCTTTTTAGAAATCAGTTCTGCTCACCTGTACTTGCTGGTATCTTTCCTCCAGTGATGAACCCTACTTTGCTGTTGCTTTCCTGCCTCTGGGTCTTCTCAGAGATCATGCTCCTCCTTCCGCCTTTGGGTTCACTGCCAGTCTCAGAACAGGCCACTGAAATTGTTACAGTCATTGAATCAGGGCCCCTCTCCACCCCTGTAAAGTGCGTAAAGAATTCATGATAATGTAATTAGTACCCATTTCAAGACTTTCAAGCTTGTTCCAAGGAGTCTGAGGGAGCAGTAGGGGCAAATCCCCTGGGGAGCTATTCTAAACTATCCCTTCTAGCCACCCCCACTAAACAACACACGTACACAATCCAATGGCTTCCAGTATTATATTTTAAGAATAAGGTTCCCAGGGGTGACTGGGTGGCTCAGTCAGTTAAGCAACAGACTTCAGCTTAGGCATTATCTCTTGGCTCAAGAGTTCGAGCCCTGCATCAGGCTCTGCATTAAGGGTGTGGAGCCTGCTTAGAATTCTCCCTCCCTCCCTCCCTCTCTCTCTCTCTCCCCCCTCCCCCCCCCGCCCTCTCTCTGCCCCTTTCCCATGCACACTTGCATGCTCTCTCAAAATAAACTTAAAAAAATAAGCCTCCCGGTATTATACACCTGAAACTAATAGAACACTGTATGTTAATTATACTGGAATTTAAATTTACAGAAAAATAATAGAATAAGCCTGCCAAGTAATTCTGATACAACCTGCCTTGTAGAGAACCTTTACACTAGAAAACAGGCAAGCTAATAAGTGCATTTAAAAAAGAGATAAGGGGCAGCTGCCTGGCTTAGTCAGTAGAGCATACGACTCTCGATCTTGGGTCATGAGTTCGAGCCCTGTACTGGGTGTAAAGATAACTTAAAAAATAAAATCGGAGAGTAGAGCACAATCGGTGGCTCAGTGGGTTGAGCATCCAACTCTTGATTTTGGCTTGGGTCATGATCCAGGGTCATGGGATCCTTACTGAGCGTGGAGCCTGCTTGGGATAGTCTCTCTCTCTCTCTCTCTCTCTCTCAAAAAAAAAAAAAAAATCTTTTAATGGGGGCACCTGGGTGGCTCAGTCAGTTAAGCATCCAACTTCAGCTCAGGTCATGATCCCATGGTTTGTGAGTTCCAGTCCCACATCAGGCTCTGTGCTGACAGCTCAGAGCCTAGAGCCTACTTCGGATTCTGTGTCTCCCTCTCTCTCTCTCTGCCCCTCCCCCATTCTCTTCCTCCCTCCCTCTCTCTCTCAAAAATAAACATTAAAAATTTTAAAAAATCTTTTAATGTTTTTATTTATTTTTGAGAGAGAGGAGAGCATGAGTGGGGCAGGGGCAGAGAGACAGGGGGTCAGAGGATCAGAAGCAGGCTCTGCGCTGACAGCAGAGACCCCAATGCAGGGCTCAAACTCCCCAACCGTGAGATCATGACCTGAGCTGAAGTCAGACACTTAACCGACTGAGCCACCAGGTATCCCTCTCTCCCTAAAAATTTTAGAAAGAAAAAAATAAAATCTTGGGGCACCTGGGTGGCTCAGGCGATTAAGCATCCAACTCTTGATTTCGGTGCAGGTCATGATCTCATGGTTTGTGGGGTGGAACCCTGTGTTGGGCTCTGCACTGACAGCACAGAGCCTGCTTGGGATTCTCTCTCTTCCCCCCGCTCTCTCTGCCCCTCCCTCCCTCTGTCTCTCTCTGTCTCTCTCTCTCTCAAATAAATAAAAATAACTAAAAATAAAATCTTAATAAAATTTTTTTAATTTAAAAAAGATAAAACCGTTAAATGTAATTCAGGTCCTCGTGTTCCCCTCGATCAAAACCCTCCCCAGCTTCCCATTGCTCTTAGGTTGAATGTCATACTCCCTCCTCATGACATGTAAGATTCTGCAAGGCCTGGCTCCTGCTTACCTCCTTGGGCTCATCTTAAACCGTTGCCTTTGGTTCTCTAGGAGTGAGTCCAGAGGTTCTCCTGGCGATTTCTCAAACTGCTAAGCCCCTTCCAACCTCAGAGCCTCTCTACTTCCAGCCCCTTGTTATCTTTTCCATACTCTCCCCTTACTTTATTTCTCACCAAGCAATTATCACAATATGTAATTGCTTGCCTAGGTGTGAACTGGCTTGCTGTCTGATCTGGCTCCTTCGCTAAAATACAAATTCTTTGAAGGTGGGAATTCTTTCTCTTCTTTCTTTGTTATTGAGATTCACAGGATGTAAAATTAACCATTTGAAAGCAAACAATTCATTGGCGTTTAGTACATTCACAGTGTTGTACAACCACCACCTCTATCTAGTTCTAAACATTTTCATCCAAAAGAAAATTCCATACCCATTAAGCAGTTGTTTATTCTCTTCTCCTATCCCCTGGTACACACCAATCTGCATTGTCTCTATGGATTTACCTGTTCTGATTATTTCATATAAATGGAATTATATAACATGTGACTTTTGTGTCTGGCTTTTTTAATTTGGCATAATGTCTTCAAGGTTCACGCATGTTGTAGTATGTGCCAGCACTTCATTTCTTTTTATGGCCGAATAATATTCCGTTGTATGTATATGCCATCATTTGCTTACCCATTTATCTATTGATAGACATTTGGGTTGTTTCCATCTCTCAGTTATCGTAAGTAATGCTGCTGTGAATGTGCATGTACCCGTATTTAAGTACCTGTTTTCAATAATTTGGGGTATATATTGTGTTACTTTTAACCGCTGTCATAACCTAATCAATACATGTGTTTAAACAAGTGAATGATCTTTTAGTGAGAGAGAATGATAAACAATACCAACAATGAGTTAATTGCTATGATAAAACATCCTCAAGGTGTTAGGGGGAAAATAGGATATCTAAGTTATGGTAAGGATAAAGAAGATTTCCTATTCATTAAGCAGAGAATAGCTGACACTTACTAAGTACCACACGTATTACTTCTTTTATTTAAAAAAAAATTTTTTTTAACGTTCATTTATTTTTGAGACAGAGAGAGACAGAGCATGAACAGGGGAGGGGCAGAGAGAGAGGGAGACACAGAATCTGAAACAGGCTCCAGGCTCTGAGCTGTCAGCACAGAGCCCGACGCGGGGCTCGAACTCACAGACCGTGAGATCATGATCTGAGCTGAAGTCGGCCGCTTAACCGACCGAGCCACCCAGGCGCCCCCGTATTACTTCTTTTAACCTTCACTATGCATATGAGGTACTCATTTTACCTCTATTTTAGAAATCAAGGCAGAGAGATTCAGTTACTTCCCCTACTCTCACTGTGATGGTTTTAGGATTCAAACCTGGTTCTGAGCTGGCTCTGGAATCCAAAATCCAGGCACTTAACGCTATATATGACTTCTTGTTTGTAGCTGTTATTTCTCTGTTATTACCTCTGGTCTGTTATTACATGCAAAGAAAGTTTTCAAACTGAAAAGCCAGTGCTATGGGGACTCAAAGAAAAGACGCTAATTGGTAGGACCTGATTAATTAGAAGCATTTTGATTTGAAGGAGATACTACTGATGGTCACCCAATAGGCAAACGGGATTTGATGCATCACTAGGGGCAATTCAAGACCTTGTGAAAGCACTAAGTTAATGCTCAAGAATCAAAAGAGATGGGGGGAGGGGAGACCATTCCCACACCACCCTCATAGGACCTAATGGTGTAGCCAGTAACAGGACTTGCGGTCCTGGAGGCAGCATTCCCATGCCTTTATTCCCTTGACTTGGAATGCCTTTTTTCTCTTCCTCTCTTCTTCCCTTGATACTTACTCTGCTCACTGACCACTTTTCAGAATTTCATTCTGAAACATTCTATGGTTTCAGAAGAGGTACTTTCCTATAACCTCTGACCCTATTGCATCTACAGGCACTCAAAGACTTAATGGAACTAAAGTATTTAATTTATTAAAGTATTTTAAAAGTATTTAATAAACCCAAACCAGAGGGACAATTCCCAGTGGGTCTATGCTTCCTGACCCAGCTGTTTGGTGGACAAAATAGCTGCCAAAGAGTTCATAGGAGAAAGGCCCTTGGAGCGAGATGGCCCAGTACTTGTGCTACAGCAGGCCAGCAAAAGATCACTCCTTGGTTTGATGGCCCACAGGAGGTTAGAATTTCAGACGAAGAAGTATGGGTAGACAGGTCATGGTGGGAAACACTTAGCACAATGGCAGCACTACTGGGGATGTACCAGGAGCCTGGCCGAGGTGGGATCCCAAGCAGCTGACACATCCATTTTCCATTTGTGGTGGTGAGGCAGGCCTGGGGCATCGCAGTCAGAGCAGCAGAAGTGCTGGATGGCAAAGCAGCTGATGCTGTGTTCACCATCTAAGAGACACTCAGTGAGCACTTCTATGTGCCAGTCACTGACATCTTCTAGTAAAGAAGGTAAATGCATAAACAGATCATTTCTCCACATGACAATTGCAAACATAAAGGTATTCATAAGGTACCACAGGGAAACCTTTAATGAAGGAAACGGATTAGTGAAGACTTCTTGGAGGATGTTATGTAAAAAAGGCTATGAATGAGTTAGGCAAAGATAATGGAATAAGGCTAAAAGGCATGAAACAGCCCAGGGTGAAGAGAATCCGATTTTGCCGGATCATCAAGTGTACAAAAGTTCCTCCTCTATGTACACAATGAAGTCACAGATACATATTTTCATAGTTCACACAGTCTAGCAGGTAAAACTCAAGAATAGTGTCTTCCAATAGTGGGAGTATATACCAGGATTCAAGAAGTGAGTTTCAGGTCTACAGCCCAGGTGACACTCTGGAAATCTCTGGAGCTAAGGCCTGGGGCATGATTCTACCATTTGTTCTCTCCCCATTCGAGGTAGATGTTTATGGTGCATTGAGAGACCTGGGTGGCACTGTAGTCTGAGTCCTCTTCCTGGTCACTTCCCAGACCCCCTCAGAAGCGACCTCCTGGCTCTTGAGTTTGGACCCAGAACTACTGGTATGACTGAAAAACAGACCAGTAAGACAGAGGGAAGATAAGGCAAAGGTCTCCCCTGGGATCTCTGACTTCTCCCTCCCCTCTGGTCCTCTGCAGTTCGATCCTTAGCTCTTTTCTCTATACATGACTTACCCAGAC